GGAGGAAACAGGAAACAGATAAAGTTGATATGGGGAAAGACCTTTGAGATTAACTCAGGTAAACTCACCTGCTCAGAGCCACTCCTTAAAGACAGGGAGACACGCAGCGACGATAAGATACACGTACTACACAATAAACACATTATCACACAGGACTTATGTACACAGTTTGTACATAAACACAGTCAACAAACTGCAGAGACAATTAGGACAATATTCGGAGTAACAAACGTCATTTTGGCAACTTTAACATCTTCAAGAAACAGTATATCTAACATTTGATGGAGTAGAAGTTTAAAGGGGCACAACAATTGAAAATATTCAGTAAAAACATGAGACAAAAAGTAAATAAATGTACTTTTTAAATGACCTAACTTCACTTTAATAAACCCTCCTTTAAACTACACTTTACATTGGAGGAGTTTAAAGTACGTTGGCAGGAATCGGTGTTTGTTCTGCTTTGATTGAATGTTTTTTAGGAGGTTTGATGTTTTTTAAACCCCATAATGTTCATGGCAGTCTGTCGGCGAGAGATCTTTAATTTGGGCTTTTTGTAAGTGACCCTGAACTGGATTTGAACCCGGGTCCACATGGGTTCCAAGCCCACGTTCAAGCTCACTTAGTTATTGTTTTATATGACATTATTCTCTGTATTAGAAGCTCAATGCTCCAGATGTCACTCTGATAGGAACATGGAGACGAGCCTTAAGGACATTTGAGTCTTTAGGGCTTCCTCTAATTACCTAACGTCACCTTAACGAGGAATTAGAGTGGCGTAAGAATGGAAAAATATGACAAAATGGTGAATAAGGGTACTTAGACGTTACTTCAATCATCACACAGAGACGTAACAGGAACATTAAGGACAATATTAGGAGCAACAAATGTCATTTTGGCAACTTTTAAATATAAAAATCCCTTTCCTTCGTACAGTATCCAACATGTAGGGAAGTGCGGGCAGTGAGACTGTTAAAAAATTGAACTGTTGAAACAACTTCAAACATTCATCTGCTACTCAGTAGTATGTATCTAATACCTAATATATATATATCATTCCAATAACTTGTATATAGACTCGTACTGCACTATTCCACATCATCACTTTATTTCATTTTATAACTATTATTCTTTTTGTATTGCTCTTGCTCTTATTGTTATTATGTTATGTTGCATTGTTGGAGAAGCCAACTACATAATTACTCTGTAGCTATGTTAGATTGACAATAAAGAACCTTGAACCTTGAGTAGAGGAATTAGGGAGCTTAAAAATTGAAAATATTCAGTAAAAATGTGAGAAAACAGTGAATAAATGCTCTTAAAGTGACTTGAATCCTCGCACAGATCCTATATAGGACCGACACTTCACTTCAGCGTCTTTAAATCTCTTTCTCTCGGCTTGTTTTTATTGTTATTGTTGTTGTTTGGGAGCGTGAAGAAGAGCTGACTCGACGGACGGGGTTTCTGTGTTTCTGACATTCCTCCTGCTGCTGGGAGGGAATGGAAACTCGGCCCGGGGACTTTGGCCCTCGACCAGGAGACACGTCAGCCTTGAGCTTTGAATCATCACGTGCACGCTCCTTAACGTGCACGCTCCTTAACGTGCACGTTAAGAGATGGCAGAAGTACACACATCCTTTACTCAAGTAGAAGTACACACATATTTTACTCAAGTAGAAGTACAGATACTCGTGTTTAAAAATACTCTGGTGAAAGTAGAAGTACTGACTAAACTTCTTAACTCAAGTAGAAGTAAAGAGGGCTTTGAAATTTACTTCAGTAAAAAGTACCCATAACTAGCAGCTGTTTTAAAGAGTACCTGACCTCCCTTTATATTAATAGAACAATAATGTCATTGTTAGCTAATGAATGTTTCCATGCTGAACAACGGCAACATGACAACGTTTTCATTGGTCCCTCTTCTTTAGAGAAGACCAGGAAATGATGGATACACGGATCGTGTTCAAATCAATAGGCACGCAATGACTCTAAATAATAATGATCACGCCACCAAACACACATTCAAACTAAAGGAACCAGCCTGTTTGGGAAATGTGAGAAGTAGAAAGTACAGGTATTTGGGTTCAACATGTAAGAAGTAGAAAGTACAGGTATTTGTGTTCAACATGTAAGAAGTAGAAAGTACAGGTATTTGTGTTCAACATGTAAGAAGTAGAAAGTACAGGTATTTGGGTTCAACATGTAAGAAGTAGAAAGTACAGGTATTTGGGTTCAACATGTAAGAAGTAGAAAGTACAGGTATTTGTGTTCAACATGTAAGAAGTAGAAAGTACAGGTATTTGTGTTCAACATGTAAGAAGTAGAAAGTACAGGTATTTGTGTTCAACATGTAAGAAGTAGAAAGTACAGGTATTTGTGTTCAACATGTAAGAAGTAGAAAGTACAGGTATTTGGGTTCAACATGTAAGAAGTAGAAAGTACAGGTATTTGTGTTCAACATGTAAGAAGTCAAAGTAAAAAGTCGTCAGAAAAGTAAGTAGTGGAAAATACTAGACAACAAAAAAACTCAATAATTCTTTAGTGGCGTGTCTTTTTGTTTTAATAATAATAATAATACATTTAATTTCCAAGCGCTTTTTCAGGTGCTCAAAGACGCGTTACAGTGATATTAAAAAGGAAATAAAATATAAAAAGTTGAATTCAAATATTAAAACAACACAACATTATTCACACATTAAAAGCCAGTTAAATCTGATGTTAAGAAAACTGCTTGGTTTTTGAAGCAGTCTGTAAATATACACAACTTTATAATACAATGCACACATTTACTGTTTGTTACGGCCCGGCTCATAGGCTGCAACAAAGATGGGAGACCAGACAAGTAACGTGTAACAAAAAGCGTATTTATTTACTATAACCAAAACCAATGGTCTTCAAAGAAACCTAATAAGCGTGGAAGTCAGTCATCAGTAATGATTGCGTGTATGGGTGTGTGAAAATGTGACGTGTGTCCAACAGAAGAGTGAGAGGGCAGTATGGGTTGGTGTTGGCCTTTTATGTCGACGGCCCAGGTGTGGCTCCTCAGGTTGATCACCTTTTAAATCTACTCTTAAGACTCACTTCTTCTCCCTGGCCTTCTAGTTAGAGCGGAGCACGACTCCTGACTTTTTTTTTTTTTTTTTATATATATCTGTTGTAATTTATTGTCTTTTATTGTGATTGCAGTAATGTGTTTTTATTACATGTACAGCACTTTGGCTCGACCAAAAATCGCTTTTAAATGTACTTTATAAATAAAACTTGATTTTGATTTGATCACCTGAAACACAAACAAGAGCCAGCAGAACACAAAGGCAGAGCCCCCTAGTGGAGTGGAGGGGGTCGTGACACCGTTTTCTAGACTCAACACGAGTATGTGATCCTGAGTTACAAACAATACGAGGGAAACGTGAAGTCGTTGGATGACACGACTTCACGTTTCCCAAAAACGCGACACAGCTGGGGAGGAAACACAATCAGACAATCAGGGAGACACGAGAGACAGGAAGTAAAAGAAGACGAGAGACAAAGAGGGACAACATTTCAAAGTAAAAAAAGAAACTATAAACACACAAATACAGGAAAGATGTTCTAGAGTTCATTGGTTTTATGATCATAAACAAGTCAGTCATATAAATCAAAACATGCCGGTAAATTCATCATTAGTGTAAATACCTTATATTATATTACAATACAGCATTCACACTAAAACACACGGTCTAATGTAGATTTTCTCCCTATATTTTGCTTCTTATCAGATTTAGATAAATATATAAATGTGTAAGTTTAATGTAAACACAGTATTTTTGTTCTCTGTTTGTTTATAAAAAGACTAAAAACAGAATAAGTGCACAGAGACAGACAGGGAGACACAGACAGCCTCCAGGCGACATGAAAGCAGCAATAAATCACACACACACACACACACACACACACACACACACACACACACACACACACACACACACACACACACACACACACACACACACACACAAACACACACACACACACAGACCAAAATTATAAGCTTGGTCTGAAGGAGGAATCCCTTTGAAATGTTGGGCTGCGGCGGTCGGGTTATTTCTGTTGAGAGATTTCTTCTTTTTCTTCTTCTCGGTCTTAATGTCTGGAGGAAGAGAGCGCTGGGAAAAAGTTAAAATCAGGATGTTTTTTTGAGAAAAGACCAGAGACCTTCGGGCCGGAGGTTAGTCGTCCCAAAGAGTAGAACGAAGCGGTATACAAACACTTTGATCCCAGCAGCTATTGCTAGTCCTTTTATAAGAGATGTGTCTGTTGTTTAGAGTCAGGATGGATCCTTTGTCTTTGTCTCTGCAAACTAAATCTACCTACGGGTACAAAGAAAGAACCTGAACCTGAACCTGAACCCGAACCTCAACCCGAACCTGAACCTGAACCTGAACCTGAACCTGAACCTGAGATGTGCAGGATTGTTAGAATCAGAAAAAATGTATTTGTCCCTGGAGAAACTGGAATTTCTGCCCCATTTTTAAGTACAAATGTTTGAAAAAATATGAAATAAAATGTAAAAAACATTAACATTTAAAGTAAAAACTGTGCAAATGTTTTTAATAAAAAGGTAAATAGATAATAGAGGTAAGATAGAATAGACATATTTATAAAAGCATAGGAAGTCAAATAAATACATAGGCATTAACAAATAATGTAACGTTATAAAAGTAAAATAAAATGGTTTAAAAAATATTCATAAATACTTCAAAAATTAAAGTTAAAATGTGCAAAAAAAGATATAGAAGTATTAATAAAATAAATAAATAATAAAAATAAAAACATTACATAAAAAGTTCAAATAAAAACAATAACAAAATGTGAGATGTTAAATATAAAAATGGGCAAATTGTAGAATATATACCTACAATAAATGTATAAAATGCTTACCTTAGCATATATACAGTGTTTGAGGTTCCACACACACACCAACAGGATTATAACCTAACTGTTTCCTGTTCCCCCCCCCTCAGTGAAAGAGGAGCCGGACGTCGAGGTGCGGATGGTCAACGGGAAGCCGAAGAAGATCCGTAAACCTCGGACCATTTACTCGAGCTACCAGCTGGCCATGCTGCAGAGACGCTTCCAGAGCGCGCAGTACCTCGCCCTGCCAGAGAGGGCCGAGCTGGCCAATCAGCTGGGGGTCACTCAGACACAGGTAGACACACACACACACACACACACACACACACACACACACACACACACACACACACACACACACACAGAGGGCTGGCCAATCAGCTGGGGGTCACTCAGACACAGGTACACACACACATTATGCGTCTTCAAACCCTAATGTGAGTCAGCATTATGACTCTTCAAACCCTAAAGTGAGTCAGCATTATGAGTCTTCAAACCCTAATGTGAGTCAGCATTATGAGTCTTCAAACCCTAAAGTGAGTCAGCATTATGAGTCTTCAAACCCTAACGTGAGTCAGCATTATGACTCTTCAAACCCTAAAGTGAGTCAGCATTATGAGTCTTCAAACCCTAAAGTGAGTCAGCATTATGAGTCTTCAAACCCTAAAGTGAGTCAGCATTATGAGTCTTCAAACCCTAACGTGAGTCAGCATTATGCGTCTTCAAACCCTAACGTGAGTCAGCATTATGAGTCTTCAAACCCTAAAGTGAGTCAGCATTATGAGTCTTCAAACCCTAAAGTGAGTCAGCATTATGAGTCTTCAAACCCTAAAGTGAGTCAGCATTATGAGTCTTCAAACCCTAAAGTGAGTCAGCATTATGCGTCTTCAAACCCTAAAGTGAGTCAGCATTATGCGTCTTCAAACCCTAACGTAAGTCAGCATTATGATTCTTCAAACCCTAAAGTGAGTCAGCATTATGAGTCTTCAAACCCTAAAGTGAGTCAGCATTATGAGTCTTCAAACCCTAACGTGAGTCAGCATTATGAGTCTTCAAACCCTAAAGTGAGTCAGCATTATGAGTCTTCAAACCCTAAAGTGAGTCAGCATTATGAGTCTTCAAACCCTAACGTGAGTCAGCATTATGCGTCTTCAAACCCTAACGTGAGTCAGCATTATGAGTCTTCAAACCCTAAAGTGAGTCAGCATTATGAGTCTTCAAACCCTAAAGTGAGTCAGCATTATGAGTCTTCAAACCCTAAAGTGAGTCAGCATTATGCGTCTTCAAACCCTAACGTGAGTCAGCATTATGAGTCTTCAAACCCTAAAGTGAGTCAGCATTATGAGTCTTCAAACCCTAACGTGAGTCAGCATTATGAGTCTTCAAACCCTGAAGTGAGTCAGCATTATGAGTCTTCAAACCCTAAAGTGAGTCAGCATTATGTGTCTTCAAACCCTAACGTGAGTCAGCATTATGTGTCTTCAAACCCTAACGTGAGTCAGCATTATGAGTCTTCAAACCCTAACGTGCGTCAGCATTATGAGTCTTCAAACCCTAACGTGCGTCAGCATTATGAGTCTTCAAACCCTAACGTGAGTCAGCATTATGAGTCTTCAAACCCTAAAGTGAGTCAGCATTATGAGTCTTCAAACCCTAACGTGAGTCAGCATTATGAGTCTTCAAACCCTAACGTGAGTCAGCATTATGAGTCTTCAAACCCTAAAGTGAGTCAGAATTATGTGTCTTCAAACCCTAACGTGAGTCAGCATTATGATTCTTCAAACCCTAACGTGAGTCAGCATTATGAGTCTTCAAATCCTAAAGTGAGTCAGCATTATGAGTCTTCAAACCCTAACGTGAGTCAGCATTATGAGTCTTCAAACCCTAAAGTGAGTCAGCATTATGCGTCTTCAAACCCTAACGTGAGTCAGCATTATGAGTCTTCAAACCCTAAAGTGAGTCAGCATTACGAGTCTTCAAACCCTAACGTGAGTCAGCATTATGTGTCTTCAAACCCTAACGTGAGTCAGCATTATGAGTCTTCAAACCCTAACGTGAGTCAGCATTATGGGTCTTCAAACCCTAACGTGAGTCAGCATTATGTGTCTTCAAACCCTAAAGTGAGTCAGCATTATGAGTCTTCAAACCCTAAAGTGAGTCAGCATTATGAGTCTTCAAACCCTAAAGTGAGTCAGCATTATGAGTCTTCAAACCCTAACGTGAGTCAGCATTATGAGTCTTCAAACCCTAACGTGAGTCAGCATTATGAGTCTTCAAACCCTAAAGTGAGTCAGCATTATGAGTCTTCAAACCCTAACGTGAGTCAGCATTATGAGTCTTCAAACCCTAAAGTGAGTCAGCATTATGAGTCTTCAAACCCTAAAGTGAGTCAGAATTATGTGTCTTCAAACCCTAACGTGAGTCAGCATTATGAGTCTTCAAACCCTAAAGTGAGTCAGCATTATGAGTCTTCAAACCCTAACGTGCGTCAGCATTATGAGTCTTCAAACCCTAACGTGAGTCAGCATTATGAGTCTTCAAACCCTAACGTGAGTCAGCATTATGAGTCTTCAAACCCTAACGTGCATCAGCATTACGAGTCTTCAAACCCTAAAGTGAGTCAGCATTATGAGTCTTCAAACCCTAACGTGAGTCAGCATTATGAGTCTTCAAACCCTAACGTGCATCAGCATTACGAGTCTTCAAACCCTAAAGTGAGTCAGCATTACGAGTCTTCAAACCCTAACGTGAGTCAGCA